TGCAACACACACCTGGGGGGCCATGCCAGCTCAGGCCATGCTGGGGGTCTCGGGACAGGTCCTGGGGTAGGTGGGCAGCCCTGGGAAAAGTGTTTGGCCTCCAAATGCAAGAAACCATGTGCTTTCTTTCCCTTCAGTGGGTCAACTGAGGAGCTGCCCTGTCTCCATCCGACACACCACCTCAGGAAGCTCAGTCACAGGGGCCCTCAGCAATGTCAAATCAGCCTCTCCCTGTTCAGGGGAAGCTGAAGTCCGGGGTCCCACAGGGAGTCTCCCAGCCCGAGGCCCTCTGCAGTCAGAGCTAATGGGCCAATCCTGGGGTGTGGCCTGGACCCAACTTGGGCCTCAGCCTCCAGCTCGCAGCTCTGCCCACAGTCTCCCTGCCACAGACAACTCCCTTCCATGCATGATCTGGCCCCTGCCTCCTCCCCCTCTTGCCAAACTAGCCCCCACTCCAACCACCCTGGCTGTCTCGCTGTTGCCACAACGTGCCAGTCTCATCCCCACCCCAGGGCCTTTGCACTAGCTGCTCCCTCTGTGTTGAATGCTCTGCCCCATCACCTCACTTGACATGCACTTTCCAACTCTGGGAGACCTCCCCTGACTGTCTACAGAAGCCCTCCTGCCGCCCCCCATCCTCTCACCCCACTGCTCTCTGTTCTCTCTTTCAGAACCTGCATGAAAAGAGGTGAGCCATCTACCTGCAGGCTTGCTTGTCCCCGCCTGTCTTTCTATCAGAGTGTGCTCTCCCAGAGCCTGGGCCTCCTGGGTCTGCTCACTGCTGGCCCCACTGAGGGGACAAGACGAATCACAGCCATGGTGCCTCCTTTGATCCTGTGACCTGCCACAAACTGCCAGTCAGAGGTGGTGAGTGCAGTCTGAGGAGGGGAGCAGGCCCTGTCTGAGGCCCCACAGCCACCCAGTAAGGCAGGGCGGCAGCTCCCCTTACAGGTAGGGAGATGGAGGCCCAGAGAGGGGAAGCGCCACGGGCAGAGTCAACCACTCTGAGAGGCTGGGCTGGGACTGAGACTCAGGTGTGTTTGACCTGGGACCACCATGCTCCTTCCCCAAAGAGGCCTGCCTGGAGTCCCCTAGAGCACGGGCTCAGGGCCCACACCCAGAGGCTCAGTGTCCAGCTCTGGACCCAGGCCAGGGCCACCCCACCTGGGGGTCAGATCCCACCTTCCCCCTGACCAGCCCTGGATTTGGTGCCAGCCCCCTCACCTCTGCACCAGTCTCCTCATCTGTAAAATGTAAATAAGTAACAGTATGTCACTCATGGGGGCAAATCACAGGTCTCAAACGACTGTGGAGACGCATGAGCCTCTGTCTGCTGTCGCTGGCAGCAGGCCCCGAGTCCCAGGCCTTTAGGGGCTGGGGCATGCCTTCCATTAGGCAGGGGGCCTGGTGCCCCCAGCACAGCCTGTCCCTGCCCACCTCCCTCCTATGCCAGGACCTCCACTGGGCCTTCAGGAAGCGCCAAGTCTGGACAGGAGGACCCAGCTCTCAATACTCCCACCTGGCTGCTCAGATGCACACATGCCATGGGAGACAATACCAATATGATGTGACAAGGACACAGCAAAATGGTGCTGGGCTTCTCCGGCCCCTCAGGCAGAGCCCACTGTGCCCTCAGGTAGAGCCCAACAGCCACCTTGCCACAAGCATAGGGATTCAGCTCCCCAGCTCGGGTCCCGCTCTGACTGCATCATGATCACGTGGCACTACCCTGGCCTGCTGCAGAGAGCCCGCCTCAAGCTAGATGCTTTTTCCAAACACTTCCTCATCCAGCCCTTGCATGAACCTCATGAAGCACATGGAAACATGCCCCTCCTTTACAAATGCTGAAAGTGCAGCTCAGGGGCCACCTGTACCCTCAATGCCATTCCATTTCCTGCTTCTTTATCCTGCAGCAAACTCCTATTCACCCTACAAAAACCCTGATCAAACGTCAACTCCTTTGTACAGCCTTCTTTTCCTGCCTTATCCTCCTAGACAGACTTTCCTCCCTCTCCTTCCTTCCCTCTCTCCTTTTCTTCCTTCTTTCTTCCTTTCCTCTCTCCCTCCCTTCATTCCTTCCTTTCTTCTTTCCTCTCTCCCTCCTTTCCTTCCTCCCTTCTTTTTCTTTCTCCCACTTCCCTAATAACAGTAAACATTTTTTGAGCAGTTTCTACTTACTAGGCATTGGTGTTGACACTTTATGGGTATCAACTCATTTAGCCTTCACCGAACCCTGAGAGGGAGGTGTGGTGGCACTTCCCCATATTGTGACACCTGGGTCTAAGATATTAAAGGGTGCATGATATTTTCCTACAAGACAGTGCTGTTACTGAGTATACATGTGGAGATGGGGACTGTCTGCTCTCACAGGACTGAGGGGGCCCTAACGGTGCTGTGGCCCAGCCCTAACCCCCGTGGCAGGCAGTGACCCGTGCCTGGGCTCTCCACTCCTCCGCACCCCCATCCCTGCCCAACCCCAGGGACTCCTCGGCGGCATGAACTCTTGGCAGCCCTCCTGGCATCTCGCTGACTCCCGGATAGCCCAGCTAGGACTGGCTCTGAATGGAGACCCTCCCTCTGCCATGCACCCTGCCAGGTCAATGTGGCCTTGTCAGCCGCAGACTGAAGCCTGTTCTCCCCCCAATCCTCCTTTGCCTCTCAGTCCATCTGCAAACAGGAGATGCACAGGTCCAAGGAGGAAAGGCCAGGGTGAGGGCTCTCGGAGTGCACAGAGAGGCCCCTAGCCCAGCACAGCTGGATTTGGAACCAACCGCCTGGGCTCAAACCCCTGTTCCAACCTATGATGTGACAGAACCTCTCTGAGCCTCAGCCTCTTCATCTGGAGCATGGGGTGGCAACAACAGCCCCCCCTTCCACGGATGTTGTGAGGAAAGATGAGATACTGCCCACAAAGAAAAGGTGATTTGTAAACCAGAAAGTGCAGTGCACGCACAGTTGCAATATTCACGGAGCTCTTGGTACATCGAAGAGTGTATATTGAGATGTCAGAGCTGGAGGTTAACACATGAGTTCTAGAGCCAAGAGGGCCAGGGTTCAGATCCCAGCTTTGCCACGTACTGGCTGTGTGACCTTGGGCAAGTTGATGAACCTCTCTTTGCCTCAGTTTAGTGTCTTCATCTGTGATGCTTTGGGAGGATTAAATAGGTTAATACATTTAAAGCACTCAGAACAGTGCCAGGCAGAGTGAGCATTCCATAAATGCCAACTGTTATGTTAACACATTAATTTTATATTAATAGATACTTGGTTTATTCACATATATAAAATCCCAATTTTATATTTGGGGGAACTAGGGCTCTACCAGGTGACTTGCTCACTGCCACCCAGTCTTACTTAAGGTTTGCCAGCCCTACGTCCAGCACTCTGTCCACCCGGCTGGACCCCAGGATGTTTGGGGGACCCTGGACCAAGCTGGTGGACGCAGAGCTCTCAGTCAGCCGGGCAGGACTCCAGCTCCTCCTCTGGCCTCCAGCTCAACCTGGACAAGGCAACTGCCCTGGGGACAGGTCTTTCTCTGAAGCCCCACCCCCAGCTCTACTGCATCAGGCTCCTGGGGAGGCTGATTCCTTTTCCTTCAGAATAAACTGGCGGCTCCAGTCCTACTCCCTGTCACAGCTTGCCCACAGCACCCAACCATTTATACAAAGTTCAAGAAGGGAAAAACTGCTCTGTGACCTAAAAAGTCAGGAGAGGGATCTCCTGGGGGTGGGCTGTGGCTGGCAGGGCATGAGGGGGCTCCTGAGGGGCTGGTCATTTTCCATTTCGGGGTCTAGGTGCTGATTATATGAGTGTGTTGTTTGTGACAATTCAACAAGCTGTACACTGTATTTCAATACAAATTTACATTAAAACAAACCACCTGGTTCAGCCCCAGCCTGCACTCCTAGCCTGGAGCAGCAGGAACAACCCAAGCCTTGGACTCAGTGGAGTTGGTGGTCATCCCTTTCCACCCGAAGCAGCTGTGTGGCCTTCGGAAAACCCCATCCCTTCTCTGGCCTCAGTTCCCCTCTGTTGAATGTGAATGAGAAATGGTCAGTGTTTCTGTCCCTGGCTGTACGGCAGACACACTGGGGTACTTTAAGAAATACTGACACAACTACCTCAGAACCTCTGGGGGCATTTTCCTTCACCTCGAGTGGGTTTTTTTTTTAACTCTTTACTTTGAAATAACCCTAGATTCACAGGAAGTTCCAAGGTAAAATGTATGGGGAGGTCTCCTGAACCCTCCCACAGCCTCCCCCAGTGATGACATCTTGCACAACTATAGCACACCACCCACCTAGGAAGCTGACACTGGTCCAGCCCACTGAGCTTGTTCAAATGTCACTAGTCACCCAAGCACACGTGCACGCATCCATGTCTCTGTGTAGTTTTATCACATCTGTACCTTTGCGTAGTGACAGAGCTGATCCATCACCAGGCTCTCTCATGCCACCCCTCCCTCTACAGACACACCCCTCCCTACCCCAGTCCCTCACCCCTGACAACCACCAATCTGTTCCCCGGCTCCATAATTTTGTCATTTCAAGAATGTTATAGAAACGGAATTGTACACTATGTAAGTTTTTAAGATCGCCTTTTTTCACTCATCATAATTCCTGGAAGTTCATCCGAGTTGTTGCATGCATCAGCAGTTCTTTCCTTTTTACGGCTGGTACGGATATACCATAGCTTGTTTATCCATTCACCTGCTGAAGGACATCTGGGCATTTTCTAGTTTGGCAGCTATTATGACTAGAACTGCTATGAATATTCTCGTACGGGTTTTTGTCTGAACATAAGTCTTCATTTCTCTGGAATAAATGCCCAAGAGTGCAATAGCTAGGTCGTATGGTAAGCGTATGTTTACTTAGAAAAGAAACTACCAAACCGTCTTCTAGAGTGGCTGTGCCATTTTACATTCCCAACAGCAATGTCTGAGTGATCCAGTTCCTCCACATCCTTGCCAGCATTTTATGTTGTCACTATTTTTTATTTTAGCCATTCTGACAGATACACACTGATATCTCACTGGTTTTAGTTTGCATTTCACTGATGGCTAATGATGTTGACCGTCTTTGCACGTGTTTGTCTGCCATCTGTGTATCTCCCTCAATGACATGTCTGTTCGTGTGCACCTTCGTTTTTCAAAGCTCCCCAGATGGGTCTAATAGGGAACCCGCAAATCCCCTGGGGCCCTCCAGGCTTAGAAAGTTCCGTCAGTTTTAAAAAGAACACATTTGCTTCTGTAAGAATTCTAGGCACTCCATGCTTTCTGGAAAGAATACCTGGAGGGCCCCGGGGCAGGTCTGGGCTGCCCCAGCTGGCTCTGAGCTGTTGTGTCTCGGGCCAGAGGATGGCTTTGTTCGCTCCTGAGAAGGACTGAAGAGGAAATAAAGAGCAGGGACAGAATGAGGAGAAGGGAGGCATGGGTGGCCGCGTGGCATGTGATGGGACCCCTCCGCCTAGCCCCAACCTGGGGAGGCAGCTCAAAGCCCGCAGGAGCTTCTAGAGTAGGCTCATTTGTAGCAAGCGGTGGGTGGCTAAGTCTTGTCTGGGGTGAGGGCAGGACCCTAGAGGGGGCTCGCAGCAAGGTAGCTCCAGGCTGTTACAGGCCTGGAGTGGGTTATTTGTGGAACTGGCCTCCATTTCCAAGGGACAGGGGAGGCCACATACCTCTGTTACACTCTCCCCCTTGCTCTTATTAAATAAGTAACACACAGTCACGGTATCAACTGTGGAAAGTAACAGCGGCACACAACAAGGAAAGTAAAATCACCCACCATCCCCGACTCCCTGGGGACTGACCAGTGTTACTATTTGAGGATGTTTTATGGCCAGGCCCTCCTCTAAATGTGTGTTTTTAGGTCTTCAAACATCCCTCCAGCCACCCCTTTGAAAGCTGGTGGAACTCCCGTGCACTTCCCCGCCGTCGGATGGGTGTGGCTTGGCTCCATCTCCCGTCTCCTCCGAAACGGGGCCTCGGGAGCGTCCCATCAGTGCGGTCTGTGTGCACAGCCGTCATGTGCCTTTAGGACCCTTCCTGGAATTTCTGGGTCACAGGCAGGAATGTTTTTATGGCTCTGGGTACACACGATGCTGACCCAAGAGGCTGGACTGACAGTCCTAGTGGTAGGGACAGCGAACGTTTGGCCATTGTTAGGGCTCCAGAAGTTTCTCCATTTGGGGCAGAAATGAGGACAAGGGAGGAGGTGTTGGGCACCATTCTACCCCATGCCTACTCCACACCAGGCCCACACGCACCAGCTGTGAGCCGTGTCACAGCTGCCACGTGAGCAACAGTTCCCCAGGTCCGTGCTCCTGACCGCTCTGCCAGGCTGTCAGGGAAAAAGCACCCAGCGAGGGCGGGGTCTGGGCTCACCCCTCGTCGCTGCCCTTGAGCATCAGAGTGGGGTGCTGTCATCCTTCCTCTTGGGGGCTCTGAAAGCGGAGATGCAGAGAAGGTAAGAGGTGGTGCCAGGACTTGAACCCAGAAAAGCCTCTCCCCCATGCCAGGCTGCCCTGTCATCTCGGTCTGTTATCCATTCCCGAGGGGTGAGGCTGTTTGCCCAATGTCACACAGCAAGAGTCACACAGACCCATCGGGGCTCCCAGTTCTGATCTACCTCAGTTCCGGCTTTCTCATCTGTGAAATGGAGCTGATCTTCCTGCCGGAGAGGCCATAGTGAGGTTCCCAGGAACTGACAAACTGGAGGCTCCTTGTAGACTGGACCGACACTCGTGCTGCCGTACTGCCTCACCCTGGCTGTCCTGCCCAGGCCCCACGCACCCCACAAGGCCGCCCTCTGGGAAGGACACAGAGGGCTCCTACCCACTCACCCTCAGCCTTCTTGTCCTGGCTCTGGGCCCCAGACCACCCTGCCTGTCCAGGGACCCCACTGCCTGGCACAGTGAAGTGACTGTCCCCAGGCTGGCCTCCATGCCCCTCCGTCTTGCCAGGATACCCTTTGGAGGAGCTCAGCTTGAGTCTGGAAAACTCCCTGCTGCAGTGGGGGAGGGGGGGTTGTCTCTGCACAGCCCCCTGGACAGAGGTGTGGAGATAGGGCCTAGGGCAGCCAGGCAGGGGACCTAGGGTGAGACCCAAGGGGCATCTAGTCCCTCTCTGGGCCCCAGTTTCCCAACATGCACCATGAGGAGGTTTGTCTAGAGAAGCAGTTCTTAACTTTGGGAGTGGGGTGTCTCAGGCCCCTTTGGGACGATGATTCATTCATTCCACCTACTAACATGCAGCCCCCACTTCGTGCCAGCCTCTCTCTGAGCTCAGTACTGACTCACGTCCCCTCACAACCACTCTGCAACCTGAGATGTTCTTATCTCTGCTCTATAGATGAGGAAACTGAGGCTCCCAGACGTGATGGGAAGCAGTACTCAGAGCACAGTGTGATAGAAGAGTGGATAAGACAGGCACATCGCTGCCGTGTAGAGGGAGGGGCAGAACCGAAAAACAGCTGAGCACACCAACAAGGACACTCCCACCAGCACAGACAGGAGAAGCACGTGTGTGAGGTGGCGAGGCAGGGGTGGAGGGGGGCTACCCTCACATGCTGGTCAGGAGCAGCCCCTAGGAAGAGGTGACGGCGGAGCCAAGGTCTGAGTGATGAGTGGAACCCAGCTCAGGAGGGAGGGGGTTCCACGCAAGGGATCAAGGTGAGGGCCCCTGGTGTGGTGCAGTGTGGGGTGCAGGGGGAGGCCAGGCATCTGCTGCAGGAATAAAGGCCTGGCTTGAAGAGGGACGCCCACTGAGACCCCAGCACCACCACTCCAGCATCTCAGCTTCTTCTGAGACCCACGGGGCCCACCGGGGGTTCTTAAGGCAGAGGCATCAGCTGAAGGTGTCGAGGGTCCAGGGAAGCTGGCTAGGGCACCTCCAGCCTCCTGGCAAGGAGAGCAGACTGAGGCCTTGCCATGTGGCTCTCCGCCTGGCCCAGCCTGTGCCCCAGTGCCATTTGGTGCCATGTCTGGAACTGCCACCTCCTGTCATTCCCAGGCTCAACTGGCTGATAGGTAGGGAGTAGACAGATGCCTTAGACCAACACAGGTCGGGAGGGGAGGGGTGGCCTGTGATCCTTCCCAAACCTTGACTTCTCAACTTCTCGCCCTGCAGAGCCATCGGGCGCCGCCCCATCTCCAGGGGAGTTGCAGCTTCCAGCAAACTCACTGGGGTCCACTTGGCCTTTCTGGAGGTCCCTCCTGGGTTTTCAGCCTCACCCCAGCAGGCGTCAGGCTCTTCAGGTGCTGACATAATCTCATTTCATCCTCAAGCCTGCCTGGGAAGCCACAGTTTCTTACCCTCATTTTATAGAGGAGGAAACTGAGGCTCAGAGAGGCTGAGCCCCACCCAAGACCTCTCAGCGGGTGAGAGCCCCCCCAGATCCTCACCTGGGTCAGTGGGGCTGTGTCCCCTGCCCTCTGCCCCAGGGTCTCCACCATCCAAAGTCGTCCCAGCTGACCTCCGACGAGGAGAACATTCTGACCCCGCCCAAACTCAGGGAGGAGGATTTGCTGATTCTCTGAGGGTGGCCTTCCACTGCGAGGGGATTCCTTTGGATATCTAGAAAACAACCCAAACCCAACAACTTACACATTTTTAAAATTTAATTTTTAAAAAGCTAATGCATTCTCATGGTTCAAAGGTAAAATAAAAAAGATGTCAAGTGAAAAGTCAGCCTCCCAACTGTCCCACATCCACCAAGGTCCCCCTGCCCCCAGGGAGTCCCTGTCCTTAGTTTCTTGGCTGTCCTTACAGAATTGCTGTATGTGAATAGAAGCTAAGAAACACATGTGCACAGCTGTGGGTCGTGCTGCCGTCTGCTTCTTGCTCCTCACACAGAGGTCGCGTCCTGGACACACTGCCCTTGCCTTCCCCTGACCTCACCTCCTGGAGCTCATCCTCAGTCTCAGGCACAGCTGCACAGTGCTCCCCACCCCACCACGGACTAAAGACTGAGCCAGGTGGAGGGGGCGGGCTTCGCCCCCAAAATCCCTCCAGGTGTGGGTGTGGAGGACAGCTCTCTTCCGTGCAGGGCAAGGACCTCCCTCACCGGAGCTCCTGAACAGTGGGGAGGGCATGGTGAGCACCTCCTGCATGCAGTGCCTCCCCAGCCGCATCTGAAATGGGGCCCATGGGATGGTACCCCAACGCACAAATACACTTTCAGACCCTGCTGACCTCACAGAGCCAGATAAATATATACACAAGACACACCATTACCATCACATGAGCATGCATGCACACATGCACATGTATGCACATGTGTGTGCACATGCATAAAGATGCACACTTGCAGCCCCCATGCACGCATACAACACAATTGTGCACACATACAAGCACGAAGACCTTCTGGGAGCACAACCGCTGGCCTCAGGCCACCAAGCACTGGCTCACACAGTCAGGCTGTGATGTGACCCCAGCATTCCCCACTCCTATGCCCTGCACTCAACAACCACATGACAGGTAAGTCTGCCCCACACTCCCTTCACTGAGGGCTAGGAACCCAGAGTAGTGAGGAACAGCTCATGTTTAACTCACAAGTTCTTTTCTTTTAGATGTGCCACCCTTTCCCGAAAACTTGCTGTGCTGACTCATTTTAGTTAAGTGAAAGTTAAAAACAATGACCATTTCCAGAACCTACTGCAGACCTGGCCCTAGGCTAGATGCTTTCACATTAACGTCGTTGGGAAACTGAGGCTTAAAGTGGCCAGTGACAATGAGGCCACTAGGTTCTGTGTGCCCACTGTGTGCCAGGTACGGGGTCCGTGGCCTCCATGCTTCCAGACACTGGGGGCAGGGACCCTTATCACCCTACCCTCACAGGGGAGCGATTTGGGCCCTGAAGGGGAAGGGACTTGTCTCCAGTCACACTGCAAGTGAGGGCACCTGGGCACCATCCTCGACTGCAGGCCAGACTGGACTAGGGGGCGGGTGGGCCAGGAGGAAGAGGTGGGGGTGGGGTTTGCACAGTGTATGGGGACCCTAGCCTGCAGCAGCAGGAGGCAGACTGCAGGGCTGCGTGGAGGCCCTTTCTTGAGGACTGCAGTGGGGCTGAAGCCTTAGCGGGGGCCTGGAGACAGAGCTCTGCGGACCCCTAGCCCTTGGGTCTAGGGGCTCTGGATGAACAGGGAGCCCTAACCCACCTACTCAGTTCATGAGAGGGAGGAGCTAGAGAGGAAGGCTCGGCCTGAAGGTCGAAGAGTGGGGGCTTCTTCTCCAGGGTGGCAAGACGACATCACAGCACGCTCTGTTCCCTACGCGTCTGGTCTCCACGTAGGACATGGCACACTCTCCTGGCAGATGCAGCAGCCCTGGTAGAAGGCCTCGGGCACCCTTGGACCAGGGGGCAGGCTGGCGGCTGCAGCAGGGCGGGGAGAATCTGCCCTTGGCCAGCTGGATAGGGCTGAGCCCGGGGTGCAGGGCCAAGTTGGGGGATGGAGGGGCAGTGTCCTCCCTGGGGAATGAGAGTAGGGGTCAGTCCCAGCCTCTGACCTCCCCACCCCAATCTATAGACACACTGAACTGAGTGCTCCCCAGCTCCTTCCTGGCTGTCCCAAAGGAATCTCCTATGCCAGCAACCCACACGCGGGGGCCCTATTTGGGCGACAGCACTGTCACCCACCTGAATCCCCAAGCCAGACCTCTGGGCACTGTATAGTCTGCCATGCTTTGATGCCTTCCTCTCCTTCACTGCCCCCCAGCCTTGGGCGGGTCCTCAGTGGGCACCCTGGTCACTCTGCTTGGTCAGCTGCTGTGGCCCCCCCAGCAGACTCCCTCTGCCTTTTCCCATCATGCCCCAGCCCACCCAGCCCGAGCCTGGGATGGGGGTACCCTCTGGATGGTATTTTTTAGATGAAAGAAAGACATAAAACTCCAGGCTGAAGGAGACAACGTGGGACATCCTTTACTCATTCAACAAACACCAAGGCCTACTTTGCCAGGCTGGCCTCTCACTAAGGCCCGGCTCAGGGCCACCTCCTCTGGACAGCACCCCAGGGCCTCTGATCCCCCAGTCGGTGCAGAAAGGTCTGCAGAGCAACTACTGACTCTGGTGCTTCTCCAGGCATGGACACCCAGCAGCAGGCCAGGCGGACCCAGGCTAGTGACAGTCTGGTGGTAAAGTCTAGTGGCAAAGGCCAGGAGGTGCATGCGAGCTGGGCAAGCTGGGCACAGAAAGGAGGGGATGTGTCTGGAGGGAGGGAGCAAGGGCAAGTTGGGGAGGCCAGAGGGGACAGGGCACAGGCTCCTGAGGGCCTGGCCCAGAGACCATGCCTTGGCCATAAGACAGATGTGACCCAGGAAAGGGGGGAGTAGCCCTGCTGTCCCCAAACCCGACTCCATGTCTTGGTTTTCCACTGATGGGCTGGGCAACACTGGGAAGAGCCCTGCCCTCTCTGGGCTCGTGTCCCTCTCCGGACCTGAGGCTCCCTTGTAGGGACACCTGTTCAAGGCCTGATGACAGGCCATGGGCATGTCAGAAGAACAAGGACAGAACAGTGGCAAAGCACAAGCACAGCCCTTCAAGAAGGCTGCTGGAAGGGAGGGGGCCCTGGGCTTCTGGTCAGAGCAGTGTCGCCCTGCCCAGGGGCCCAGGGTTGGGAGACCCCTCAGCCTCAGGCTCCAGGAGGAAGTGGCAGCCTGACAACAGGTGGGGTAGGGGGGCACTTGGAGAGCAAGACTCCATCCAGGGAGCACAGCTGAGCCCATGACCCAGACCCAGACCATCCAGGTCTGAACCCCACTTCAGCCCAGGGTCCTTGGGATGAACCATGAGCCTCCTGGAGCCTCAGTCTCCTCTTCTACAGAGGGGTCTCCGAGCCCCGCTCTGCCTCCAGGGTGCTCTGTAAACTTGGAAGTCCGGGAGACAAATATGAGGTGCTGTTCCTTTCAGGATGAGAACCCCAGGCCCTCATCCTTCCTGAGGAATTTCTCTGGCCTGAGCACCCCTGTGTGCTGTCCGCAATCATCTCTGTGCACCCTCACCCGGCCTCAGGGGCCAGGAATGGCCCATTTCACAGATGGGGACATTGGGACATGCAGCCAGCAGCATGAGCATGCCTTCCCCACAATCCTCACTCTGCCTCTCCCTCCCTCCTCCTCTCCAGGGAGGCCCAGCACAGCCAGGAAGGGTTTCCCCTCCTTTCGATACAAGGTCCATCTGAAACAGACCATGTGTTTTCTTGGGTAACACACGATGCCCTGGGCAGCTTTTTTCTTTTTTAAATATATACCACTGGGAAAAGAGGAAACATGGAATAGCAAGAAAAAGGGTTCTTGTTTATAGGTCACAGTTGTATAAGAAAAAGGGGTGTACAGCAGCCTGGGGGGTGGGGGGCAGCTGGACCCTAGTGTCCGGGGTCCTGGGGACTTACCCAGTCACTTCCAGCTGCAAACCCTCTCCTCCCATCCGCGGAGCGCCCTATACCCAGAGTGAAGGACTTGGGGCTCTGCCCTGGGCCAGAGGCCAGCTGCCGGCTGAGGGTTTGCCCATCTGGTGCTTAGCGGTGGCCTCAGTAATGGGGGCGTCTGCCCACTACTGAGTTGATACCGCCAGCCCGGCCTATGCTGCCCTCTAACTCCAAGCATACCTAGTGACTATCTCCAGCCTTGGTTTATTGCCTCTTTCAGAACAAACACACACATTTCAAGGCTCATATGTCCCCCAGACTCCCCAGTTTACACATATTACACACATTTAACACTCCCAGGGCAGTGGTTCAGCTCACCGCATTCGCCCAGCTACAGGGGTGGCCCGGGGACAGAGGCTGGCCGATGGGCACATGGCCTCCTCTGGGGAGATGGTTTCAGGAATGGCCAGGAGCGCCAGGGCTGACCAGCGGGATGTGAGGGTTTCTGAGGGAGCCCCCACATAGGAACACACCCCAGGAGGAAGGCAAGCAGGAGATGATGACAAGAGTGTCCAAGCCCCTGGATCCGGCCCCACTGAAGCCAGACCCCTGGGCTGTTCAGTGACAGTAACCATTAAAATCCCTTCTGACTTGAGTTTCTGTTCTCTGCAACCCAAAGACTCCTGATTAATACAGTCCCTCAGCTCTAGCCTGGCTTCCTGCCCCTCCCCAGATGTCCATGTTTCTTAAGTCCCAGAGCGTCCTGAAGCCCTTCCCTGTGCAGTGAGAATCCAAAGAAGGAAGGGCATGAGATTAATATTTATAGGTGTACAGATCCATTACATGCTTTATTACCTCACTGAATCCTTGTGGTCACCCTGCAAAGCTGAAATTATTGACCCCATTTTACAGAAATGGAATCTGAGGTTCAGAGAGGTTAAGTCATCTGCTCCAAGTCACACAGTTACTGGGAAGCAAATAAGGGGTTCCCTGAGAGCTCCTTGGAGAGTGGCTGGGCCTTGCAGCTGGGGGCGGGACTAGAAAAGGCTCTGATTACCCCAATACCTTGGCCCCCACTTCTGCTGGGCCCACCTAGTGTTGGGGAGTTCCTCTGAGGCACCCCCATCACTCAGCAGCCCTGAAGCTGGACCAAGGATGGGGAATCTGAGGGACTCAGGAGGTGCCTAGCCCGCTGGACTAGGTGAAGCCAGT